GCCTTGGCCGTACAGCGGGGGCGAGGAGGAGGAGGCGCCGCCACCCCCGGCCACCGCCGCCGCCATCCGGGCTCGAGCCATCGCGCCCAACTAGCCGGTCCAGCCCCGTCAGGGCCGACGCGGGGGGCGGAGAGGGGCGGCCAAGCACAGCGCCGTCACCTCCCCCTTTCCTCTCGCGCGCGGAACGCCGCCGCCGCGGGCGCCAGTTTCCACCCGGAGCACGCACGAGCGGGCGGGCGCGTTCTCTCCGGGCGCGCTCCCGCCGCCCAGTGAGCGCGCTGGTCGGGAGGCGGGACCCGCGGAGCGCGCATCCTCCCGGCGTGCGCCCTGTCTCCCCGCTCTGCTGCGGACTCGAGTAATGGCGGAGGTGGTGTTAATTTTTCTGGTCCGGGGAGGTCACTTCCGAAGGCGATAACTGAAATCTCCCTGCCCTCTGGTCCTTCCTCGCCTTAGTTGTTGCCTCTGGACCCCTCATCCCAGCCCCCGGGGGGACTTTAAACCTGGGCGCGCAGGTTGACCCAGGGATGAGGAAGGGGCGTCTCATCCCTTTCGTACGTCCGGATACTCGGACCCAAAGTCCTTCCCAGAGACGAACACTGCCACTTCTTGTTTCTGGCTCAGTGCGTAGTTTCCAATTTGCATTTAGAGCCGACGAGCCAGACCACCCCAGGGGCCTCCACCCTGCTTCGCAGGAGGTGCAAAGCAGGCGAGAATCTAGAAGAAGGGGATACCTCCCCTCCACCGCTACCCCGCTCCTCCAGCCCTGTTCCCCAAGCCTGACAAGTCGTTATGTGTTTCTAACAGGCATCAGTGAACGATCTGCCTTCGTTGGAGGTTACTGCAGCTGGGGCACCTCCAAGTGTTTCGAGATATTGCTGACGTTTCTAACAGGCATCAGTGAACGCTCTGCCTTCGTTGGAGGTTACTGCAGCTGGGGCACCTCCAAGTGTTTCGAGATATTGCTGACCCTGCCCAAGAATGAAGACCCCAAATGAGAGTCCCTGGCTGCCTTGTTTCCTTGAACACAAGGAAGTTGGACCCAACACACTTAAAGCGAACTGATCTGGAAGCCGTATTTACCCAGATGTTTCTTTGAACATTTATAGCAGCAAGAGGAGACCTAGCAACACCTTTCAAAACTGGAGGGTTACGCTGTGTTCCTGTGTCTGAAGTTCTTCCTGCTGCTACCCAAGCTCCAACTAAGGAGTAAAATATTTCATGGACTCTCTTACTTTAATAATGCTCTCCTAGGTTTGTTTGGAAAATGCCTTTAATTTAACTGCACCAGAAGTAATGTTAAATACATTTTATTTTAGTTCAAAACAAAAGAAATATTTTGGTTAATTCCATATTGCACTTCAGAGATTTTCATTAATGAAACAGTGGGATGTTGGCCCACAGATGTACAAAATCGTTCCTTACACAAACACTTTTATTAGCTTAAGACTCTCAGCTTGGCACCTTTAACATACAGGAATAGTTTATTACCTAATGTAACATAGGCCGTAACCAAAAAAAAAAAAAGGGTGGAGCATGGGTTAAGGGTGTACTTTGTGCTCTCTCTTTCCAGTATACTCCCTGACAGCTTCCTGCCAACACCCCAGAGAGCCTGTACCTTGGTAAATCTAGTTCAAACTTCCAGTGGTCCTGGCTCAAATCATCAGAAAGGAGCTATAGTAGTAAATGCAAATACTGTTTGTTTACTATGTCACCTCCTTCCCGTCTCTTGGGATTGGTGTCACAGATAAAGCAGCTCTGTCCCAAAGGAAAGCCTTCATCTTTTTAAAATGGGGGAGGAGGGTGAAAGCAGCAGTAGTGCGTAAAATGGCATATTTCATATCTGAAGACAAAGGAGACAAAAAGGTATGCCCCAACTGAAAAGTAAGCCTGCTGAGCTACAGCTCAGAGACTGCAAAATGTGTCAGATGAACAAGAAGCAAGTAGATGGCTGCTAGAGGCTAAAGGATTTGGGGTCAATTGACTGCCACAAAGCCTACCATCTCGAAGAGGCAGATTTTGCTTTATACCTGAGCAGCCTGCCTGGAAAAATAAATCACCCACATGTTTAAAATACCCTATAATAATCACAAAATACTCAACTACATGTTATTTACATTTAGCAAGCACAGGAAAAAACTAAAGCACAGTGCGATCAAGTGATTTGCCAATAGGTAGCAGAGCAAATTCAATAGCAGACCTTTTCATAGAACCTGGTATCCCAGCTCGTGGTCCTTCGATCCATCTAAGAAGCTTTGCTGTCTCTCTCTTCTCAGAGAGCCTCCTGAATTACAAATGAGGAGGAAGGAAAACAGCAAGAATAAATATACTAAGCAGAAGTTCAGATTGCCCTCAGGGACTGCCCCCTTCCTTCATCTGCTAGAATGTCACTACTGTATATTAAAATCTCAATTATCCATAATGGAGAGGGAAAGAGGCACAGATAACACAAAAAAGCCAAATATGAGCTAATATCCTCTCTTTGAAATGTAGTCAGTGATATTCAAAAGACACATAAATGACACCCTCTGCTCAAAGCTCCACTCTCCGACCTCAGGTGTCTAACTTGCGTAACAGCTCTGCACAGGCCCAAAATTTTGGCTGCATCATTTTCCTATCTAGATCTCTTGGCAAGGGTTTTTTGTTGTTGTTCTTTTAAGCTACTAAGTATGGCATTTTATGTTCTCTTTTCAATTACAAAATATAATGTTGAGAACCCATGGGGAGGGAGACTCAGATCTATAGAAAACAAAACATGCTGGTTACTGTCGGTCACTGTTATCTCCTTGAAGGCATAATGGTCTAAAAAGAACTCATATAATCACGTTTTCATGGACAGATTTTTTTTTAATAATTATTGAATCATAATTGATTATACATATTTTGGGGGTTCAATGTTGACATGTTGATCAAATCAATATTACTTGCATATATATTGTTATAAATCATACTTATTCTTTATGCCCCTTGTCCAATCTCTCCCCATCCCCCCTCACTCCCCCCTCCCACCTCTGATAACCCTAGATTTCTTCTCTCCTTCTGAAAGAGTAATGGTTACTCTGTTGATTTGTTGCCTAGATAATCTATGGACAGATTTTTTTTTTAATGTTTTTTTATTTTGGAGCAGCTAGCCAGTATAGGGAACCAAACCCTTGACCCTGACCTTGGTGTCGTAACACCATGCTCTAACCAGCTGAGCTAACCAGCCCACCCCATATGCTTAATAGTGTTTTGTACACCTTAGAGAAAGGTACAAGTTTCCCCCAGTATATTCAATAGAATGTGTCCTGTGGTTATTAAGTGATAAGCACCTCTAAAAAATAAAATTAGCAAATGTATTCAACAATTTTTTTAAATGAATAAATGTAGCTGATTTTTAGCTGAACTTAGTTGATATAGTTTCCATCATATACAATGATATCGCTGTGACCTCCAATTGATAAATTCTAAGTCAAGGTGAAACTGAAAACAGGATTTTAGAAAAATAGCAGCCTGAAGTAGAAGAATTGAACCAGGAGTCCAAAGACCTATAGTAGCAAATACAAATAACAGTGTATTTCATTGGAGATTTCCCAGTGTTGCTCATTAACATAGCAGTTCATTATCTGTACTCTTCAGACAGCCTATCTGGGTTTGAAACCTGGCTCTGTGCTTCTTGGTTATGCAATTTGAGGCAAAATACTTGACCTTGCCGAGTCTCAGTTTCCTCATCTGTAAAATGGAAATAATAATAATGGTTACATATCTCATATGGATGTGCTGAGGATTATACACCCTAAATATAAGGGGCTTAATGTACTGCCTCGACACATAGAAGCACTCAAAAATGTTAATTTGCTCTTGTTTTCACTTTAACTTAGATAAATCAACCTGTTCTGAGGCTCCCTTTTCTCATCTATACAGTGAGTGCCATTATTCTGAGCTGTCTACTTGACAATACATCTGTAAGAATCAGATGATCTGAGAGCTTCATAAACTGTAAAACATCAACCAAGGCTACCATAATAAAAATGTTCAGTCCTAATGTGACTTTTGTCTCTGCAAAGCTACTCTCCAGAAAACATTCTCTTAGAACCCATGATGACAGCTTCTCTTTATAATGTGTCTATCCTCAGACCCCGTCATGAGACTTCAAACCAAGGGAGTAAAGATGGAAGTGGGAGAAAGAAATGTAAAACACAGAACTATGAAACATTCAAACCTAAAAACACAAAGCCAGGCAGCAAACTTAAGTTATCTACTTGTGAAAGTCTTTCCCCCTCTGCTGTATAGAACTCCTCCCAGCTGGCTCATCGGCCTACCTCTGTGCCAGCCATGGCATTTCACCTGCTTGCAGAACCTTACCCTCCCATGGCAATCTCACAACTGTTTCAGTTTATGCCAGGAATATCGTCAGAAAGACAAAGAAATACCACTTTCACATATTCGATAAATATTTATTGAGTACATGCAATATACCAGGTGTTGAACTTAGTGGAATGGAGAGGAAAATAAACGCCATGTCTTACCTTCATAGAGCTCACTGTCTAGTAGGGAGGCAGACCCAACCAGTAATCATGCAATACATATATAATTACAAACTGCTGAGTGCAAGAAGGGACTTGTATACATATTTTTAGGAGAATTTATAACAAAGAGACCTAGCTTAATTGGTGGTGGGTGGGGTAAGGGGAGGAGAGTGTTCGGGAAAGCTGCTCTGAGGAAATGTGGTTTTGTGGCCCTTGTTTTGACATCCCTTGATAATCTTGACACTTGAAAGTTGCCCTAATTCCTCCTGGACTGTAGGTGTACCCAATCATTATAAGAACAGAAATAGAGTGCTCCTCAGAGCACATGAGCAATCATGGTGTCCCTCACACAGACTCATGGAGTTTTGAAGAAAACTAAATGAGTCATGTCTGTACAGCTGTCACCACCGTGCCCTATATACTGTCAGCTCTCAAATAGTAGCTATGGTTGTGATTATTGAGCTCTAAGGCTGAAGTGAACCTAGCTCTTCTTAGACAAGCTACTTAAGCAGTCCCAGAGATAAGCAGCCTCATCTTTATGAGATTTTAAACTTAGTCTCATAGCAGAGTCCTTCAAATTTTCGTTTAACTAAATCCCAGCTCCACTAAACAAATCAGTTTCTCAAACAGAATTGTGTAAGTTAGGGATTTTAATATATATTTTTTGTACCTAAGCTGTCCTTTCCTAAGGCACAGCTTCTTTTTTTTTTTTTTTTTTTTTTTTTTTTTTTTTTTT